AGTATTAAGATTTAGAATAAATTAATTTAAGACTTGCGTTTAGATTTAAGTCCTAGTTTTAAGTATAATATAAGATAGATTTAAGATTTAGTATTAAGATTTAGAATAAGTTAATTTAAGACATGCGTTTAGATTTAAGTTCTAGTTTTAAGTATAATCTAAAATAGACTTTAGATTTATTATTAATATCTAGATTAAGTTTTAAGACTTCATCGATGGACATCGATGGACAACATTGGATTACATTGGATTACGTTGGACTACGTTGGACTACGTTGGACTACGTTGGACTACGTTGGACTACGTTGGACGATGTTGGACAACGTTGGATCACGATAATCAATAGATTTTAATATTCTTGTTATAATTTCTAATATTCGATGTAAATCATAAGATGCATCTTAGATTTAGGTCCTAGTTTTAAGTATAATATACGATAGAATTAAAATTTAGTATTAAGATCTAGAATAAGTTAATTTAAGACAGATTGCATTTAGATTTAAGTTCTAGTTTTAAGTAAATTATAAGATAGATTTAAGATTTAGATCTAATATTAAGATCTAGAATAATTTAATTTAAGACATGCGTTTAGATTTAATCCTAGTTTTAAGTATAATACAAGGTAGATTTATAATTTAGTAATAAGATCTAGAATAAGTTAATTTAAGACTTCATCGATGGACATCGATGGACGACGTTGGACTACGTTGGACGACATTGGACGACGTTGGATCACGATAATCAATAGATTTTAATATCCTTGTTATAATTTCTAATATTCGATGTAAATCATAAGATGCATCTTAGATTTAGGTCCTAGTTTTAAGTATAATATACGATAGAATTAAAATTTAGTATTAAAATCTAGATTAAGTTAATTTAAAACAGATTGCGTTTAGATTTAAATTCTAGTTTTAAGTAAACTATAAGATAGATTTAAGATTTAGAGCTAGTATTAAGATCTAGAATAAGTTAATTTAAGACATGCGTTTACATTTAATCCTAGTTTTAAGTATAATATGCGATAGAATTAAAATTTAGTATTAAAATCTAGATTAAGTTAATTTAAAACAGATTGCGTTTAGATTTAAATTCTAGTTTTAAGTAAACTATAAGATAGATTTAAGATTTAGATCTAGTATTAAGATCTAGAATAAGTTAATTTAAGACATGCGTTTACATTTAATCCTAGTTTTAAGTATAATATGCGATAGAATTAAAATTTAGTATTAAGATCTAGAATAAGTTAATTTAAGACAGATTGCGTTTAGATTTAAGTTCTAGTTTTAAGTAAATTATAAGATAGATTTAAGATTTAGATCTAGTATTAAGATCTAGAATAAGTTAATTTAAGACAGATTGCGTTTAGATTTAAGCTCTAGTTTTAGGTAAATTATAAGATAGATTTAAGATTTAGATCTAGTATTAAGATCTAGAATAAGTTAATTTAAGACATGCGTTTTGATTTAATCCTAGTTTTAAGTATAATACAAGGTAGACTTATAATTTAGTAATAAGATCTAGAATAAGTTAATTTAAGACTTCATCGATGGACATCGATGGACATCGATGGACGACGTTGGACTATGTTGGACGACGTTGGACGACGTTGGATCACGACAATCAATAGATTTTATTATCCTTGTTATAATTTCTAATATTCGATGTAAATCATAAGATGCATACATCTTAGATTTAGGTCTCGGTTTTAAGTATAATATAAGGGAGAGTTATGATTTAATATTACAATCTAGAATAAGTTAATTTGAGACAGATTGCGTTTAGATTTAAATTCTAGTTTTAAGTAAACTATAAGATAGATTTAAGATTTAGATCTAGTTAGGTTAAGATTAAGATCTAGAATAAGTTAATTTGAGACAGATTGCGTTTAGATTTAAATTCTAGTTTTAAGTAAACTATAAGATAGATTTAAGATTTAGATCTAGTTAGGTTAAGATTAAGATCTAGAATAAGTTAATTAAAAACATGCGTTTAAATTTAAGCTCTAAATTAAGTAAACTATAAGATAGATTTAAGATTTAGATTTAATATTAAGATCTAGAATAAGTTAATTTGAAATATGCGTTTAGAATAAGTTCTAGTTTTAAGTATAATGTAAGATAAATTTAATATTTAGTATTAATATTTAGAATGTAATATTTTTATTGTACATTATTGTATTCGATATAAATAGTTTTAGATTTAATCTTTAGGTATAAAATTGTATCATTATAATGTATTAATCATTTTGTAAAATAAATTTAACCAGATGGGTCTCGATGCGTAGTCACCTCCTCGTGGGTGAGACCCGGTAAT